CTGGGTGGCTGGGGTGTGCTCTCCCACACTTACCAGGAGCATGTGTGACTTGCACAGTGGAGTGTGCCGTGGCTGTGAAAACAGCTGCACGGAAAGTAGACACGTGCACGTGCCTGTGGATGACGTCGAGGTCGCACTGAGAGGGAGTGGGGCATGGGGAGACACCTGAGGCAGGTGCCGATCCACCTTACATTCTAGAAAGGTGACATTAGAGTGGGCGATGGGTGGGAGGGAAGCCAGACTGGGAGCTCTTGCAGTATTCCAGAGGGAGACAGCGGTGGCTGAGGTGGGCATGGAGGCCGTGTAGCTGGGACGAGTGGAGGGATTGGAGAGGTCTAGGAGTCAGAGTGGACAGGCCTTCCTGAGAGGAGAGTGGATGACGTCAGGGCTCTGGCTTGGGCAGTCGAGGGGACTTAGGAGGCGGTAAGCAGATGACAGGCAGGCTCAGGTTTGGACACGCCGAGTTCGAAGGACTTACAGGTTATGGTGGTCCTCCGCCAAGGGGGCCTGGGAAGAGTGGTTTACAGTGCACACATGCGCTTTGCTGTGTGAGTGGCCAGTTCTCTGCGCAGCCGTGACAAGCATCATTGCTTCTGCGTGGTCAGTTACACTTTTCTTGAAGTATAATTGCACACCTGTAAATTGCCTAAGACCGGGGTCGTACCTGGCTGTCTTAGATGGGACTGCCAGTGTCTTACACCATGTGACCCTGAACTGTGTGGTGCTGTGAGGGTCTTAGGGCTGTGTCAGGCTAACCTCTGCCTGCACGAGCAGGTGGTGGGGGTCTTCTCTGGCTTCTTGTCAGTGTCCTGTGGCCCACCAGCCTGCTGTCAGAATACCCCGTCCAGTCGAGCAGCTTCTGTTGACGAACTGGTAAAGGCAGGCCAGGGAGTAGGCCGAGAGGTGCCATGTGATGTTCCCTGCCCCAGACAAAGGTACCGCTGGAGACTCGGACTCAGTGAGCTCCCTCACCATGTGGCCAGGAGTAGGTGCCAACAAGCAGAGCAGGGCCTGAGCACCTCAGAGGACAGGTGGGCTAAAGGTAGGGAAGAACTCCGTCCCTGCAGAGCTGACAGAGGAGTTCTCAGGAAGAAGGAGGGTGTCGTACCAGAGAGCATGGCCTTGGCTTCAGGACAGGAGCTTTCTGAAGAGCTGCCAGGGCTGCGAGGCTGCTGCGTGGCTGCGGCTGCACTCTGCCTTCGTCTCCCTCCTCTCTGCTTGCCGGACCCGCTCTGGGCTTCTCTCTACAGGCCCTCTCTGCTGTGTTCAGCACCCAGGACCCAGAGTGCCCACTCCGGAGGCCCCCGCAAGCCTGCATCCCCTGCCCGCCTGCTTCACAGATCCGTCTCCACTTCCTGATCCCAAGTTCTCAGGGAGGAGGCTCATGGCTCAGCCTGGGTCCCGCTTCCCTGGGAGTGGAGGGGGGCTCGTCTGGCAGGGCCTACAGGAGCAGGTGCACCGGCCAGTGGGGTGCCGGTGAAGAGGTGCAGGAGCAGTCTTGGGAGTGAGGAGGAAGGTTCAGGAATGGCCAAGAGCCATGGTTTTCAGTGGCCCAAAATGTGGTCAGGGGATGGGTAGGGACCTGGATTTGGCAACAGAAGTCGTTTAGGCCAGGCTCGAGTCTGCCACAGCCAGTAGGTTCACACAGTGCTGATTGAGGACAGAAATGGGAAGAGGGAAGATTTTTTATTTTTTAATGAAGTGTAACTCTGGAGGTGTATGAAAAATATTCAAAGCGCAATCTTAAAAAGGCATAATCTGAATTGCTTTCTAACACTGGAACATTTCTGCACCTTTGTTCTAACTCTGGATACTCAGTGTCTCTGTGTCACCTGATACATTAGAAGAAATTCAGTAAAGCTATTCTAGAGCTCATTTATTTTTCATACCCCTGCAAGTTCATAAAATAATCATAGCTTATTTCCACATCTTCTTTTGCAGTGCATTCTGGGGGCAGAGTTTGTGAGGAGGACCTGCTAGCCAGAGCAGACCTGTCCCCACGTCAGCATATTCTCTCTGAGGTCACCAGTAAAACGTGTCATAAACATAACTGGAGCCCTCTACTTCTGCTGAGTAACGCCACCACGTCAGATCTGTTCATGTGTGTAGTCGGGGTGTGTGGGATGGCGCCTGCTCGGTCCACAGTGCTCTTCCCCAGAGTGCGTGCATTGGTATGTGAGTGTGAGGTCAGGGTAGGTTAGGGTGGGTTAGGGTGAGGTTAGGGTAGATTAGGGTGAGGTCAGGGTAGGTTAGGGTAGGCTAGGGTTGGTTAGGGTGAGGTTAGGGTAGATTAGGGTGAGGTCAGGGTAGGTTAGGGTAGGCTAGGGTTGGTTAGGGTGAGGTTAGGGTAGATTAGGGTGAGGTCAGGGTAGGTTAGGGTAGGCTAGGGTTGGTTAGGGTGAGGTTAGGGTAGATTAGGGTGAGGTTAGGGTAGGTTAGGGTAGGTTAGGGTGAGGTTAGGGTAGGCTAGGGTGGGTTAGGGTAGGTTAGGGTGAGGTTAGGGTAGGTTAGGGTAGGCTAGGGTGAGGTTAGGGTGAGGTTAGGGTAGGTTAGGGTAGGTTAGGTTAGGTTAGGGTGAGGTTAGGGTAGATTAGGGTGAGGTTAGGGTAGGTTAGGGTAGGTTAGGGTTAGATCAGGGTAGGTTAGGGTGAGGTTAGGGTTAGATCAGTGTAGGTTAGGGTAGCTTAGGGTGAGGTTAGAGTAGGTTAGGGTTAGATCAGGGTAGGTTAGGGTGAGGTTAGGGTTAGATCAGTGTAGGTTAGGGTAGCTTAGGGTGAGGTTAGAGTAGGTTAGGGTTAGATCAGGGTAGGTTAGGGTGAGGTTAGGGTTAGATCAGTGTAGGTTAGGGTAGCTTAGGGTGAGGTTAGAGTAGGTTAGGGTTAGATCAGGGTAGGTTAGGGTGAGGTTAGGGTTAGATCAGTGTAGGTTAGGGTAG